ATTTCATGCAGTCAGTAGTGCAGGCAGTCCTTTCTGGATCTTTCAGCCACTGTCCAGATGTTCTGAAGGAGAATCCGATCTCTTTCCACTCCTGGTATCAGTTTCCTGTCCTCACTGCATCCTGTTGCTACATTCTTTCAGTTTATTTAGTGACTCTCCCTCCAGGACCACCAGGCTACCAGATAAAACAGGCCTGGTTCCTGTCTATGTGCTCATTACAGCGGTCAGCATGAGCACGCAGTGTGTTCTGACATCTTTTTATCAGAACCACAGTTAATCCGTGCAGTGGTGCTTCAGAGATGCTCTGACCGATCTCTCCATCAATCATAAACAGGTCCTTGTCAAAATCCCCAAAAATCCTTGTATTTGTCCTTCTGCTGAAACAGAACTACATGTTCTCTCAGCTGCAGCGCTGAAGAGGAAAGAGCTGTTACTGACTGACCTCATCTGTTCCAAAGGTTCACCTAATCACGCCAAAAGCTGCTGCGCTCATTATTTCTAATCTCATATGGGAACGTTCAGATTTATTTCATGTATGAATGAAACATTCATCCATATGTAGATAGTCTACATAGAAAAGTCTATTATTTGGTGGGTGGAGTTGATGAAACAGTTGGAGGTTTGAAACAGGAGACGGGCTCTATTTATTATGAACGGTTTGCTTTAGTGTGAGAAAGGTGGTGCAACAATTGACGCTGTTTGACTCCAGAAGAGGGGGCTGATGGGTGAAGTTTACAGAGAGGAAACCTTTATGCTTTGAACACAGTAAAGATACAATGTGGCAGGAAAAAATGGCGATAAGGCTTCAAAATAAGAGCATTCCCAAGAGGGGAGAGGAATGGACCGCTGTGCTTCTGGTTGGGAGGTTTTTGGAAAAATGAATTGAAAATCTAATTAAAAACGGAGGATGTTTAATCTGCAAGGTTTTACCACATAAATAAAATCATCAATCATATATATATATATATATATATATATATATATATATATATATATATATATATATATATTATCCCCCTCCTCTTTCTAGCAGCATGGTTTATTTTGAAGGATTTGCCTGGAAGTCATTCCGGTGGAATTCGGCTCTCTTGATAGCAGCGCGAGCCCCGGGCTTCCAAATAAGGAATTTGGCTCTCGCCGCGCGGACACACGGACGGACAGGGACGCTCCAGAGCCGCGAGCGGCTGACGGCGCTTCGCGAGACGGGCGCGAGCTTCCCTTTGATCTGCGGCTCCGAAGCGGCTCCTTCATTCACCTGGCAGCGCGCGGCGTGCGGAGAGGATCTCCAATTTGGAAAATCACTTAACTTTTTTTAGACAAAACTGGAAGGATTTCTGGGATTCCAAACAAAATATATATAAATGAAAAATAAACAGAGCAAAAAGCAGCAAATAAAGGAAGAAAGTGAAGAGAAAGGCGGATGTTTGACTGTGGAATGAGGGAAGTTTGATGCTGGAGCAGTGTCTGAACACCAGGAGGAACCTCTGTGGATTTTCTGATTCCGTTTTACGCACCAGGAGCGCAGCAAGCGGACAGCCTGGACTGCTGACATCTCCCTGCCCTCCGCAGCCCTCACAGCCCCGCACCTGTTCTGCTGCATTTCCAGAGTCCAGGGCGTTTTGTGGACTTACCGCAGGACTTCCTGTGCTGGATTTGGTGAAAGCATCGCCCGCTGCCATGCTCCGGACGGACTGCTGACCAACTCAAGGTAAATTCCTGCCTTTATTAGAGCGCTTTACTGTCAGCTGCTCATCTCAAAGTTTTCTGTTTGTTTGAGCAATGAAACACATTCGGCTAAAGGAACAAACAGGTGAGATGTTGAAGCCTTGGATCATCGGCTGGTTGGCAGGTCAGGGAACAGCAGCTCACACGCCCAGGAGGCGCAGCGCGGCGCGGTGCGGTGCGCGGCGCGGCGCGGCGCGGCGCTTCTCCCCGGGGATGCGGTGTCCCCAAACCAAACCTGCTCACCAACATGGCAGCTCAGCCGCTGTTTTTTATATTCTTACTGAAAATGAACAAGAGCAGTAAAAAAGTGACCTGATCTCTGCGCACAATTGGTCCACAAGCTTCACCCTGTTTACCTAAACTGATTAGATGCTTCCTTCAGTAGGGGGATAGCCTACTTACTATAAAAATATTCATGTTTATCTAAATAAACATTTAAAAACACATTAAGTTATTTTTTTATTTAAAAAGCGGCGCAAGACCAATTCATCCACTCTGCTCCGCGTGTCATCATTTCTACACTAATTCACTCTTTAAACTATCAGATTATTTATCTGTATATTTGTTCAGAAGAAGAAAAGCTTGATTGTGTCAAAGCTGCTTCCAGGAAATCCTCCTCCAGACATCCTGCATGCTGAAGCCATGGAGAGGATCGCTCCTCCTGGAGGAGGACATGGATGGAGCGGCTGTGGCGCACCGCCTGCCTCCAGCTGACGGCCTGCCTCCAAGGAGACCCCATCCTCACAGAAGGAGTGTCACTCTGTCTCCTTCTGCTCCCAGGAGCCTCCTTCATGTCTGCAGGCTGTGGACTCAGAACCTGGACTGGATGGAGGTCTGCTTCCAATGGAAGAGCCGTCCATTCCTTCTCCATTAGAAAAGGAAAGGTCAATATTTCACGCTCTAAGGTTTTAGGAGATCCAGATCAGCCTGTTGGGGGCGCTAGAGAACAGACATCCCTTCATCCCTTCTAGAAGATGAAAGCCTCAGCTTCATTGGGCCACAGCCTGAATGAACAAAGAGTGGACGGTTTGAAGAAGGACTCTGGTTGTTTCCTGTCCGATCAGCAAACCCAGGAACAGAGATCAGCCTCAGCTTTGAAGACTCTGCGTTTTGTTCTGGTTTTTGGTTTTCGTGTTCGCATGAAGCTCCTGCTGACGGTGGCCTAAAGAAAAACAACAGCTCTGTTGGTTAATTACTCCCAGAGTTTTATAGAAGTGAGCTGATAAACACAGCTTAGGTCTGAAACCGTCCACAGCTCAGGTTTCTATTTTATATAAATGTTGCTGCAATTTATCCATAAATATACATTTGTCAGCAGTGTGTGTATTTTTGTTGCAGCTGATTTCCATTGATAGCTGATTAACAGAAACCTCTAAAACCTGCAGGACTGCGGCCCTCAGGGACCCACTTTATAGATGCCTGCTTTAGTGGAAAACAGCAACAGGTGGGGGAGGAGCAGCATTCAGTGGTCCAGTCAGAAAACAGACTTAGACCACTTTATTTATTACACCAGGGGCAATTCTTTTGAGCAGTACAGGAGAAAAACAAATAAATAGAAATAAAATGATAAAAATAAAACGTGAAAGGGAGATTGAGGACCAGAATTAATAATAATAAAAATGCACAGAAAGATAGTGAAAAGATAACACAGTTATCTTTTTAAGATCTTTAAAAATCTTTTTAAGATTTAGTCTGACTCCAGGATTGTGAATAATCTCTTTAAATGTTGGGAGCTCCAGGATGGACATTTTCAGCAGCTTTCAGTGTTAAATTCTGCCAAAAATAAGCAGGAGTTTAGAATAAAACATATTCTGTCAGGAGTTGTAATTATCTTGTCAAAAAAACACTTTTTAAAAGACGTTGATAGTTTAGAAAGCCAGCATGTAGCTGCTAATGGTGGATAATCAGAGAGTATTTTCCGCGTCACGCTCCTGCAGAGAAGCAGAGGATGGAAGGAGGTGGATAAACCTGGAGTCCTTCCTTCAGAGACATGAAGACACATGTTGACCATTAGGCAGCTGCTGGAAATGCTCCTAAAGGAAAGGGAATGTTTTCAGGCCTGCCTGGGTCCAGGTAGTGCATGTTAGCAGCCGGCTGCTTTATCTCCAGGAGGAGAGCAGATAAGAGAAGGAAAGTCACCAGCGGAGTCCTGACAGGCTCTGCTGGCTGCGAGTCGCAGCGATGAGACGTAACTCTGGCCTTTTCAGGGCCACTCATGCATGTTTCTTTAACCTACTTGTCCTCTCTGGTTTCGGAGCCACATCCTCCCGCAGCGTTGGAAAACGCCGAGCCGCTGCCCCCCCCCGTCCTCCCATAGCTCCATGGCCACGGCGTCCAAGGCTGCCAGCTGTCAAAGATGCTCCTACGTGAATTAGTACGATCAGAGAGAGCAGAGCAGACAGCGAGGGGAAGGAGGCTCCTTACCCATCATGCTTTGGGGTAAAAGGCCAGCAGTCGGTCTCAGCAGTCAGGAGCTTTGAGGGGAAAACCTGCAGAGACCTCATGTCTGAAACATCCGCCTGCAGTCATCCAATGGGAGGCTTCCTCAGGTCCAGTGGAACTACTGGTGTCTTTCCTTTGGGACGGTGCTGAATGCGGCCTGGTGGGCGGAGTCAGGGAATTTATTCCTGCAAAAAGTGACCAAAGCTGCTGGCCTGTTAGCGTCGTTTAGCAATGACTGACACTGATGGCCGCTGCACATCAAACCATCCCCGTCTCATTGGACGTTTGGTCATCATGGTAAAGCTTCAGATGAACAGGAAGTCTACAAACTGAAGGAACATGTTGCTGCTCACTGATAGGGTTAGGGTTAGGGTTAGCCTAACCCTAACCCTGATAGCTGATAGCTGCGGCTCTGACCGCTTCAGGGCTCCTGTTGCTAAGGCATAAAGCTGTGCTCCTATCAGCTCTTTGATGTGGACACGGTCAGAGCGTGTGAGCAGGAACAAAGCAGCCGCTGATGGTCTGAGATGTTTACCAGCAGGAAACGCGTCCTCCTCTGCAGCAGATCGGCTTTTCCCGACATCCAGGCTGGATTTTCTGTGGGTCAGACTGTGACTCTGTATGAATAACAAGCGACGCTGCGGAGGATCACATCAGTAGAGCCTAAATCCATAAACGCCAAACTTTAGAGATTCATGGTTTAAAACTGTGGAGCAGCTGTGGGAAAATAACAGGGGAAGCATTTCTGGAAGTTTCTGTTCAATGAAAAAACAGCTGCAAGACATTTTATAGAGAATTATTAACATTAAAAAGAACTTTTGGAGAAAGTTATGTCAGATTTAAAAGCGTTTAGAGGCGTCGTCTCCTCGGCCATCATTAAGCTTACAGGCTGTTGCTTGTTTGGTGTGAATGAAGGGAAATGATTGGTGCAGTTTACTGTTTTCATTTAAGCTGAATAGATCAGAATAGTTTATTATTAAGCAAAGATAGAGGCTGCTGTCATCAATAAGCTCTGTCCAGCTCAGTGAGGTTTGGGTTGGTAAAACCGTCACTCTATGGCAGCGGTGAGCAATTCCAGTTCCTGGGCGCCGCCATCCTGCAACGTTTACATCCATCCTTGGTCCAACACACCTGAATCAAAAGTTTCCTCCTCAGGATGCAGCCACTTCCTTCAGAGTCCGCTACCTGATCCAGGTGAGTTGAACCAAAGGCACATCTAAAGGTTGCAGGATAGCGTTCCTCAGGAACAGGAACCCACCTCTGGTCTATGGCCTACAGGCCAATGCATCATGGGAAATGATCACCTTCATCAGGGGAGACATGTTTCCTCATCCTCTCCATTTATGCAAATTAGGAAAATAAAATATGTCTCGAGTCATTCGAGTCATTCTGGAGCATCAGTCTGCAGTCCAACATGGAAGCTGGTGTTGACTTTAGGATTTCAGGTCCTTCTTCTGAACATTTCTGAATGTTTCTAAGATCTGGACCCTGATGATCCTTCCTGTGATTCATCGGAGACGCCTTCCTCTCTGGTTGATGTAGGAGCCTTTCATGGCGATAAAGCAGCGCCGTGCAGACGGGCACACGCTGTTTACAGGTGGAATGAACTTTGTTAGGATGCTGTGACTATCCAGATGTGTTTTATTTTTTGTTTTTGGACCTTCAGACGGTAGACAGGCCGCCGCTCTGCGGATCAGACGCGGCTCTGATCTGTATGCTGCAGCTGCTTCATCCGTGTTTTAATGGCAGAATCAATCTGCTACCTGACATTTCCTCAAACCGCCGTGGCCTCAGGCTCCCTGGGATTTCTCATTTTCACATCTTTTTCTGCTTTTAGTGACGCAAACATCTAGTTCTATGTCCCTTCCAGAGCAGATCTGCCTCATAAGTTTCCATTTTTAAACTCTCTGCCTTTTAAACATTTAGTCTGTTCTGAAATAAAGCTGCTCAGCCGGAGCTGCAGCCTTCAGGTGACTTTTAGCACCTCCTGCCAGAAAACCCACGCTGCTCCTACATGCAGAAGAATGAGCTAATAGAGTCTGTGCTGGTTTCAGGCAGGAAAAGGACGCTGTCCTCCATGTTTCTGCTGTTCGGATGGGAGGTGAAGGTCTGTGAATCCAGATCTGTCATTAACAGGATTCTCTGTTCAGCTATTTTTGGCCTCATGGCCGCCGCTCTGAGAGAGAAGCAGAGGAAACACCTTCACACCTCCGTCTGCTCTGAGGAGAGGAGCCACCCCAACTGCAGAGCTGTTTTTAACACACCAGCAGATGTGAGACACGAGGAGCGTTTCCTGGTGCACACGCTCGGCCTGCATTGTTTGAACGGCAGCTTTCACTCAGCAGATGTTTTTATTCATTGTGACTGGATGTAAAGCAGAGAGAAAATATCCAGCAGCACATTAAGCTGCACTTCAGGCCTGGAAACAACATCGATGCATCTTCAGCTTTAAGATGAACAGCTGTGATGAAATACAGACATGAGCAATTAACCCCCCAACACCAACACAGTGCTTTTAAACAGCTAATCATGGATTTATCG